ACGACCAAATTACAGCGAATTGGGATCAACGAATTTATAAAATAAAGATAATCCGATTTAATGTACTTCTGCCGTTTTATGGGGTTTCTAAGAAATAAAATACGTGGTATCGGCGATAAAAAGACAAAATTACAGAAACAATCGATTAACCCGCGAGTTGTGTATTTGGAATATCCCAATTACAGCCGTCCGGGAGATAAGTGTACGAATAACGTTTTGAGCTCAGTGATTTGAAACTTGTACTAGAACATTAAAATACTCTTCTACTATCTTTTTATGTGAGTATCGACGACCAACAGTCCAAATTAAAAACACCATCGCTTATCCCGCGCGACGCGTATTGCTCCAAATATCATTATTCCTATATAGACGGTAGTGTTTTTCAAAAAATCGTAAAAAATCAAGTTTTGAGCTCAGTGATTTGAAACTTTTATTAAAACATTAATATACTCTTCTACTATCGTTCTATGGGAGTATCGATGACGGAAAGACAAAATTACAGACACTATCGCTTATCCCGCGCGTTGCTTATTTGAAAAAACTTATTTGAAAAAACCGAATGACAGCCGTCCGGGAGATTAGTGTAGGATTTACCACTGGAATGCATGCTTAATCTTGTGTGAAAACGAATATAACCCGTTATAACCCGTACTTTAAGATTATAACAAGAAGTTTTATTTGTAATAATGATCATTAAATATTTGAAATATTGAACAATTGATCGCCAATTATACTTATATTGTTGTTTAAAAATTTTTTTTTAATTTTTAATTTTTGTTGCATTCCGGCCCAAAAAATTCCCTGTCAGTACCGGCCCATCTGGAAAATTCCAGATTTTCAGATGAGCCACTCCGCCCCTGGCTTTGAGACCAAGAATGTGCCAAATCATTTTTTTTTTTTATATAATCAAGCGAAACATCGAGCTGATAAATCATTCATTTGCGTGATGGTTGGTAATGTAGATGGAATAACTAACATCAACAATATCAGTATTTCATATATTCTTCCATCATCATATATTGGTAGCCCACGTCATATGCAAGAATACGAGTATATTCAAAACGCCATAACTTTTGTGTGCGCGTACGGACGACTAGATTTGTTCATTACATTTACGTGTAATCCAAAATGGGATGAAATTAAAATTGCGTTATTGCCAGGTCAACTGCAATAGATCGGCACGATATCACTGCACGTGTTTTCAGACAATAGTTAAAATCATTGATGAACTTGATTATACATTCCTTTGTATTTGGCAAAACACGTTGCTGGCTGTAAACTGTTGAATGGCAAAAACAAAAATTTTGCCATTTAGAACGAACATCTTTTAATTAAGCTTAATGATCATTTAATGTTAATGTAGACAAAAACTATGAAATGATTCCAAATACTCGTTTTAAAACAATTGGTGGTATTTAAACTGATTGAATTACAAATTTGAAGATAGCAAATATCCAACGATGGGCATGTGTGCTTCACATCGGAGACGTATCCAAATGCACTAGGTATGTGCCAGTAGCGCAATCAGGAATTTTTCATGGGGGGGGGGGG